CTAGGTGGAACCAAAAAAAGTCATAGCCATCACCCTCACAGCTGCAACCTCTTGTCCAAGGTCAATTGGATCCAGCTCCTCCCCAAAACCTGTTAGAAGTGGGACAAATTGCCAAAAGGTTTTGAGAGAACTGATTGCTCCTCCCAGGACAACCAAAGAGAGAGCAAGCAAGCAAGAAACAATCACCTAGAGGGGATGGCAAGAATCACTCAGATAACCTGCTTTTTAACCTGCTTTTCTGTCTTCCACTTTTTAACAGGGTCACTCATTCTGCGCAGCGTAGCAGAACCAATTACACAACGTGTGTTTCAAACCTCTAATTACTGTGGCTGCTTCTGCCTTGATATTGCTGGAGGGAAACATCCGTGCAACGAAGCTGTGGTGTCCGTGACAGCTACATCATGTGCCATGATGGTCAAATACTGGTCTGTGACTAAATTTCAGTGTCACCCTTCCTGGCAGTAATTACACCTCACAAGTAAAAAGGAGTCATCATCAAGACTGCCTACAAGGAAACTGTTTTCATGTGAAACAAGGGACACAATAAGAAAATATTGTAACATAAAATAATCAATATGGCATATATTGTTTTTAAATTCTCAAAGGATGAAGCTCTTGTGATAATGAATAGTCTAATTTTTCGTAACTGGAACTAGGTCAACAACAAATTAAATTACCGAGCCAGCATGAAAAAGATGAATTACTAGAAAATAAAAACCTGCCATTAAAACAGATTTCCAGTCTCTCTTGTTAAACTCAAAGGAAAAAAAGAGTAATTTCAAGATATTAGTGTCATGAAAAGGAATTAGGCAGTGGTGTGCTGCTTTCCCCCTTACTAAGTTCAGTGTTACAAGAACCAAAGAGTTAAAACTTGTTACCGGGGTGGTAACGTATAGAAACAACAGAAAAGTGATACCAGCCAGTTATAGGTTTCTTTCAGTATGTCATTTATTGAAAAAATATGAGATTGACAGCTTGAAATTAAATCATGGTGTCAAATCTTAACAATGAGATATTTTTCTCTTCTTTAGCATTAAAAAAAAATAGTCAAGAGTGTCTCAAAGCATTTTACTAGTTTTAGGTATATGTCAAATGTACTTGAAATCAAATTCCTGTGTGGGGCTCACTGCAGTGGTGAGAAGGAAATGGAGCACTCCTACACCCCAGCCATGGTGTGGCAATGTACGGGGCAGTGGTGCTGCTGGAGCCTGGGGAGCAGGGCTGCTCTTCACTGCTGCTCTCTGTGGGTCAGCAGCACGTTCTGGGGAGCTGGAATAAGGCAGAGCAAGGCCTGCCTGTGTTCCCAGAGGCTCTTGTCTGGGGAGAGACAGGTCTGTACCAAAAGTGAAGCAGAACCTGTGCGCTGCCAAGCAGTATGACACATAATGTGCTTTAAATGCTAATTATAACAGCAATGAAATAATTGTCTCCAAGATTGAAAGGTCAATGACAAATCTATACAAGAATACCTGTGTAAGAACAGTTGTGAGCATATAAAAATCTGGCTTTTCCCTAGCTAGATATGGTGTCACAAGACTATCAAACGCCTTTTTCCATTTTGCTGTGATTTTGTTTTGGAAGAAAATAGCCTAACACTCAGAAGTGTTCTGATTTTGATTGAGCTGAATATTTTAAAGCAGTGCAGCTCTGTTTCTGCTTCTCCAAAGAGCACTGCCTATTAAGATTGTAAAGTCAATGCCTCAAATCCCAGAAATAAGACTGCTTGAACTTTGTGCTTTGGGCTTTTGGTACCTATGTGTTACGATGCTGTCTTTAATTACATTAGCATATCCTGTTGTTTCAAGGATTCCTGTTCATGTAGTCACTGGGAAGCTGTTCAGTATTCTTTTTGCCTTCCTTACTCAATGAGTGGTTTCAGGTCTTAGTTAAAATTCCTCCTCCACATCAGGTCCTGCTTATGGAACTATTCACTTGAAGTGATGGATTAGCACTAATTTAACTACAGAGTTTGAAGGCTTTCTTGTAAATATTGAGGCATTTAAATATTGAGGCCTTTTAAAAAAAAGAGAAGGCTCTGCCAACAATTTTGCATAATTTGAGAGAAGGCTGCTTGAGAATGCACATTAAACTAGTGCAAGCTAGGCCAAGTACAAAGACCATGCATGGGTCATGTGCTGGTTTGAAGCAAATTTGAAATTCAAAGGTAGTTACACCTGAAATTTGCAGTACACCTAAATGAAAATGTTCTTCCAAAGGAGGAAAACTCAGAAGGAAGCAAGTAACTTATGATATATGCATTGCTGGTGACGTGTCCAGCACAGTCTATCACTAATTTACTTCAAGAAAGCAGTGCTCCTCACAGTAACAGAAGCAGCAGCAGGAGCCTGAATTTTTTTTGGGAATGAGATATTTAAGGTCAAAAGACAATGAGAAACAAGAAATAGCCTGAAGAAAGGACAATACAGTTACACCCCTTACTCCTCTGTCTCTCTCCAATTTGAATAAATTGGTAGCAATGAGTGTTTCATCACAAGGAAAACCCCATTCATACGACCTATTTTCATCTAATTACATGACCTACTCTTTCCCTCCCTCTCCACAAGGCTTTTTTGCCATTTATTCAAACATGCCCTGGGAATCCTGAGGTGCTGAAAAGCAGTACCTCAGTGAGATGTGCTGAGATAAGTACCTCAGCTCACAAAGATCTAACAATGAATTTTAATAGGGGCTGATAGGATTATTCATCTAACATCCAATTCTGGTTTTCCTGTGTGACATAGGGATAGACAGATTAAATGGTGGTTTCTCTGTATTTAATACTCCCAGCATCAACTGAAAAGAGTAGGATATGCATGGGCCTGAAAAATGCGTCCACAGAAATGTAACAATAGCACCAAAAAATGTGTGCTACCTGCTGTGACCATAATAGTTTCCTATTTCAGTGAGAGATTATGATACCATCATTCTTCTCTGCCACTGCTTGGGTACATATTTGGAAGAAAATGGGCAAAACCTTTACCTTCTGCACAAAAACCTATAAGAAAGTGACTTACAAAAAGGGAAAAAAACCCCACAGAACCAATAAGATGCCCAAATTTCTCTGCAATCAAAGGCAGTTTCCACAGCTAATACCTGTGACAAAAGGGTGCTTCTGGAGGCAGCTGCACTAGAGAATTTCTAGGTTGTGTTTGAACTGGAAGGTGTAACTTAATTTGGCTCATTTCTTCCTTTGTATCAGCCTCCCACATGATTTTCAAAATTTCCAGTGAATAGCCTATGATGGGCAATTTCTCAGTGAACTTGAGAATCTAAATCACTAAATATATCTAAATCACTAAATCCCAACTAATCCTGTCACTACAGTGAGTCACATGTAGCAAAAGCTTAATTGCTATAAATGTGAGATTTCCACATTCTTTTTCAAAGCTTTTAGTAGTGACACTTGAAAAATCAACTTGGTTGTGTTTTCCACAGTTTATTTCTGCCAACCTCCCTCTTCTTTCCCCACCCTTTGCAGAGACCACCAGCAACATTAAGCCCATTGAAAGCTCTGCTCCTCTTCAGGTGGTATAAAGTGGGAAGGACCAACAAGTCTGTGCACTGCAGATACCAGAAACTGAAATCCATCAAGTAATTTGCTTTACTCCTCACTCCCACAAGGAAATGCAGAGATGCAAAAGCAGTTTTTATTTCTACAGGTATCTTAAAATAGCTGTAAAATTTCACAGTATAGTCATTATGATGTTAAACAACTCGCGAGAAAACCCCTACAGCTGAATGCAATTTATTCACCTGATGGCACAGCACAAAAGCTGGAAAAAATATTTAAGTGTTTCTCCCTATTTTTCCATACATCTTTCCTACAGCCCCTCTGAAACAGCTTTCATATTCACAGAAAACTCAAAAAAGAAAGTGAATAACAAGAAGGGTTTTCTTCCTTTCTTTTCTCAGATGCAGGGTTCTTTGCAATTACTTGTGACAATGCAGGGTAACAATTTCAGTCAAAGCGTGACTAGCAAGTTGCTGATATTGCTTAAAACATTTTACTTCTGAAATTACCATGACTCCACTCACTCAAAGGATCATTAGAATCTAGAGTTCTGCCACAGGGAACTTCAGAGAATTGTCCCTGTTTCATGCAGCGTACTGAAACACAGGAAAATTAAGTGATGTGCTTAAGACTGTGTAGGAAACTTGTGGAAGAGCAAACAATTAAAGTTCCAGGTTTGTGTTCTTATCACTTCATCAACTCTTCCTCCCAACTACTTCAAACTGTGTCACAGCACAGCCTTTTTCAGCCACAGCCATTTCCTTCTCTGACCATATTAAAAAAAAATAAATTACTGAGCCAATTAGTTAATAAGGATATTGTCCAGAGGCAGGGATGAAGATTTGAGGAAAATTAAATGGAAAAGAATATAAGGATTAGGGAAAAAAAACCCAAACAAAAAAACCAACCAACAAACCAACCAACCAACCAATAACAAACCAAAGCATACCAACCCAACCCAACCCAACAAAAAAAAACCACCCCCAAAAGACCTGGAAAGAAAGTAGTTTTCTATTTAA